AAATAGGTTCCAACTCAAAAACACTTATGGCAGGAGTAGTAATCGAAACTGGAGTGGAATAGTTTTCGGTTATTTGTGGCCACGATTACTTTAGGAACAACAAAACGGTCATTAATTTAATTAAACGTATCAAGTCTTAGGCTTTTACCTGAAGTAAAATGCTTTTTTGACCATTGTTTTCTATTTTGCTAAATCCCCCGCCCCTTCGAAATATTCCCTCCTCTTCCGCATTCAGTTTGGGGTCATCTTTTGAGCATGCGCAATGTTTAGGCGGAACTCGAAAGTCGGTCTCCCTGGGTTACCATCAACAACTCTGTTAGCACTCTGTAGCTTTATGCTAACGTGGGAGTTATATACATCCTTAGCTTTAACTGTATGATGTAAGTGAAAGCACACGCCAGTTGTGTCCAAGGCAAGTTTAGCCTAGGTTTTAGTTAGCCTTTGTGGTGATATTGATAGTATCGATTAACTATCTTTAGAAAGGGCAAGCTAGCACGCTAATGCCACTTCGCGTATTTGAATGATTTGTGTATGGTTTAGTTCAATATGACAAACGAGGAGACCACAACATTGGCATACACGAAAAGCCCTAAAACATCAAAGAGAACAACATTTCAGGTGAAGTGTGAATTGTATCTCTCTTTTGTTGTTTCAATATATGATGGCAAATTTCATATCACAACAAAGGTGATTACGTTACCTGAAAGCCCAATCAACCAGTTCAATCTCGTTGCAGAATGAACTTCAGACTGCTGTGGCTTCCAGGGCAAGAAAAGCGGAAGCAGAACAGTACTCTTACAATGATGACTTTGACGATGATGAAGATGGTAAGTTGTCAGAGCATCAAAATATATTGAATAATATGGTGAGGATTTTTTTTTTTTTAAAGGTCTTTTTTTCCCATCGAGATACTATGTGTGCACTTTTATGTGTGCACTTTTACAGAGCTGCTCTCCAAATCTCATTGTACTGTGTACAATGACAATAAAGGCTTTCCATTAAATTCAATTCAATACTATTGAAGTGACAAATTTAGATGGATAACGTGGTAAAATTAAGTGGCGATAGAAAAAACCTCTTTTTTTATATATAAACTGAGGAGGCCTCTGCACGTAGATACTATTGTTTTGTTGATATAAGTCTAATCCATTGATTGACTATTCTATTATTTATTGTTTTTCAGATTTTTTAAACGATCTTCTCAAATCAAGAAAAAAGAGGATTGATGCATTGAAGACTAGCAGGAATCAATCCAGACTTAGAAGCTTTGACCTCTCAGACGACGAAGGCAAACACAGTAAACCCAAAAAAGTTTCATTCCTAAAAGCCCAAAGAAAAAGCTCTCCCCCAAGTGACTCAGCAGTATCAGAGGGAGTAGATAAAGAGCCACAGGGATCCTCCATTGATGGTCAGTCCACTTATAATGGGTCCTTTTCCCAGCAGCACTCCACAAATGTCAGTGAAGAGAACTCACAGTTTGAAAATCGTGGCTTGGAGTCTGCTGACCCTCAGATCACAAATGGGACCTCGAGTCTTTCTTTTCAAACATCAAACGATTCTCTGACTTTGCCCTTACCGTCTGACGGCAGTGTGGTGGACACGCCGGCCCCAGGGCAGAAGAACGGGCAGGCTGTGGTGGAAGAAAGCTCAGAGACTCCACAGTTATCAGCGTCCAACCTGAGCCATGCTATTTCAGTTGGTCCGTGTATTTGTCTTGCAAAATCTTTACAAAGAACATTACAAAATTGCACCGGTTTAAAGGTATGTTTTCCATTTATGTTACATATCAGATAGCGTAACGGATAGAGAGCCACCTAAACCCAAACCCCGGCAGCGGACGCTTGGATTGAAAGCTAATGTTACAGAGAAACCGGCTGAGGAAGTTGGGTCTCAGGATATCAGCAGGCCCCAGACATCTTCTGCATCCATCCCCCTCTCAACTGCTACATCCAGCAGTATCACTGTAAGAGGCCTCCAGTTTATCTCAGCATCCTGCACCCTAATTTGCAAAGTAAACAACTTTTTCCCTTGATTATTGTCAGTGGTCTGACAGGGATCGCACGGATTCACGCGGCCCCAGCAAGTCCTCTTATAGTAAGAGCGAACCCTCACATGTCCTCACACAGTCTACGCTTGATTCTGGTTCCAGAGGTAATAACTTACCATTTCATTGCTCTAATTACATAAATGTTATGCATTTACTGTCTTGACATTTGATTTGCTGCTTCAGATGGCTTCATTTCTGGGGACAGCAAAGAGCCACAGGGAAACTACTCTTCATCATTTGAGGAATTTAATGTAAGATGTTTTGAACATGGTGGTGAGTCCCATATTAGATATGTTTGATCTCTTAATCTGAGTTTATTGTGAACGGCTCTCTCAGGACTGCTCCGGAGACCGACTTTCCTGTGCGCCCGAAAAATCATTGGATAGCAGGTCAGTAGAAAGTTTCATTTATAGAATGTAATGGAAGGAAATAAATGTTATTGATCATCTTTTTTTTTGTTTTACTGCTATTAGGCCGTCAAGTACTACTAGTCTTAAACGCCCTGAACGGTCTCAGAGCGTTTGTTCCAAAATAGTAGAATCAAAGTATTTGGGAAGTCTCAAAGTTCTGGACCGTAAAGTCTCCTACCAGGAGTCTCAGCCACAAGAAGCAGATTCTCTCAGAGCTGCTATTTACCAGGTAAGTAAGAGGGTGTGTTTTTTTATCTGGCATCACAAAAGTCCACATTTCTGTTGTTACGCTCATGGTTTAGATTCTGCTTTTCTGTCACCTGACCACAAGTTACTTTTGAATTTTAACTTCAAGGAATATGTTTTATTCCTCTTCACAAAGTGTCACATTGTCAACAGTTTTATTTTCATTTAAATTCTTCATCTCCAAATCGTTCACAGATGTTTTTCCAAGTTTAAGCCAGTTTGTTTTTCATAACAACAAAGCGCCTGACTGAAAGTCTGCTCATTAGACGTCTTTGTTGCTCTCCACAGGAATGGCTTAAAAAGAAAAAAGAAAAGTCAAGAGAGATGATGCAACAAAAGAAGAAAGAGGAACTTCTGAAGAAAAAGGAGAAAATGGTATTTAACCACCCATCATCAGTGAAGGTAAAAAACAACACGAAAATTAATATATCTCACCATCTTTCTGTCGATCAGAAACAAGAGGCGAAAAAGGAAGATGCCATCGCATCTTATGAGGCCTGGAAAGAAAAGAAGGCAGAGAGTCTCAAAGCTAAAGCCAGGGAAAGGAAAGATTTGTTACGAAAAGAGCAAAGAGCAACTGAAGAGAAACAAGAAAAAAGCCAGTCTGCTCAACAGGTAAACCTCCCTGTTCTTTAGCATATGACTGCACTAAAGGTCCGTTCATACATTTCATTCTTTACTTTAGGTGTTCGAGAAATGGAAACGCGAGCACGACAACTTGCTCAGGGAGAAGTTCAAAAAACAGAAAGATGCTGAACATAAACTTAAACTCCAGAAACAAGAGACGGAAGAGGAGCGAAAAAGGGACAGCAGCTCTGCTTTTTCAAACTGGTCTGTCATTCCTAATCTCTGTCATCTGCTTTTTATTCCTCTTATTCTAACCTTCAAACAATACTCCTATTTTATGGTTTGCAGGGATCTTGTTTTATTTTTCACATTTATTCTGAATTGGAAAGAAACCAACCATGGCGTTTGGTTGTGAAAGTGATCGACCACCAGATGGCAGTCACAGCTAAATGTTTGTGAACGGCTCCTGCAAACAGGGATTAACCTTTGACTGAATCTGATTTAGGTCCAAAACGAAGAAAAATGTTCTCCATGAAAAGGTCACAACCGAACGCAAAGAAATCCAAAACAAAGTGGAGGAGGAGCAGTACATTAAAGAAGAAAGAGATAAAATGGCTTTAGAGATGTATGAAAACTGGCTGGTGAGTCGAACAGCTCTATCACTTGAAAATGATCACAAATTTGTCAAAAGGGACCCGTTTAGCAGTGACTTATGCAAGTTATACATTTAGCAGTAGACTTTAAAACTATTTTACTTTTTTATTCTTTTTCAACAGACAAGAAAAGATCTAGAACAGAAGAGACAAAGAGAGGAAAGACGTATACAGGCAATACTCCGGGACAGTCCGCCTCCGCCGTGGAGCCCTCCAAATAAAACCATACCATTTAGAAAATAATGTTTGGAAGAAAGCGTGGCCTTTTGGATAGTATTTTTAGCATTATTTTATACATTTTACCCAGGAAAGTGTGCACAGTGTTGATTTATACTTTTCTCCAGGTCCATAGTTGGCCTGTTTTATATATTTTTTAATGTTTCCGATTAAATAATGGACATGTGACGATTAATAAATTGTGACAGAATTTAACATTGGTGTGATAGAAAACTCACTTTATTGACTTGAAGTAAAGGTTTCTGTTTGTTTCCACAAATGGGGATGTTTGTCTTGGTCATGGTTTATATGTATGCCTACTTACATGGTTTATGATGCGCTACTTTTTATTTTCTAAAAACAAAATGAATCCTTCCACGGATATACAAACTCATGCAGGTGATTGGAGAAAGGCATCTGAAAATGGTGAAAGAGAGTTTTTCTTCACGCCTTGACAAAAGTCCACCTGAAGTTGCCTAGAGATCTCAGATGCATCATTACAAGGGCTGTGATTCATCTGAAGTTTTTTTTATCCTATAACCACTCCCTCGGGTTGTTAACACGTTTGTAAAATTACCTTACATTGAAAAAAGAGATGATAGTACTCTTCTTAGACGCTGTATAATAAAGTATGTTTTTCTAAATAAAAAAGGCTATTTCATATGAATGTGATATTATAGGTTAGGGTTAGGATTAAACTACCGTTACATTCGCAGTGGTTGGATATTTGATTACATTACGAAAAATATGTTTATTACGAATTATCTATTTCCACTGAACACAAAACGTCCCGTGCCTTAATTGAATAAATCTACGCTTTTACTCTGAAGTTCTTCACCGGAAGTCCGTGTGTGCGCCTGCCCGGTCTTATAAAGACCGGTGAGTGGGCAGAAGTACCTCCTTAAAGTACAGGTTGTCATCGTCTTTCCCAAAAGTTACTAAAGGAATTCCTGGGGTGTGATTTTTACCCGTTTGCAGCTGCCCTCCCTTAGTTTCTGAAACATTTTGTACGTGTAACACGTCCCGTGGCTCCGGAATTAACGCTTTTTTCGACCCCAGGACTCGTTTTTAACGGGGAAGTCAGCGCAATTTGCACATTCCTGAAGTTTAAAGGCTGAAAAGGTAACGGAACGTTAGCTACCGCTTGCTAGCTAGCCAAGTCAGTTCATTCATTGTGCGCTGGGCAGAGTCGGTCGGCTTTAAGAAGAAAGGGGGTAGAATTAGAGGTCCGTTTAGTGACTTTACCTTCTTCTCGTGCCCTAACGCTTCTCTGTAAGCGTTCTGCCGTCAAAGGGCAGAGAGCTACCTGTGAAAAAGGGGCTCTTTTTTCTTCTCTGCCAGACGTGGCTGAGCCGCTATTAAAGAGCTCTTTATTTCCCACCAGGCTGAAATGGTACGGCTGGTAACCGTTACTGTGGTGCTACTGGGCAGGTCGGGCTTCTTACACAGGAGGATTTTTGTATTGATGTTTTAGATGGTGTCAGAGAATGTAGCAAAATTAATTACGGTACTTTGGTTTTGGGACGGCAGACTTTGAGGGTTAGACACTTTATTCGGCAGCTATTAACATTCTTAGACGATAAGTGATTTTAAATCCTTGTATTACAGAGAGTTACTCATCATTATTATTATTATTTTATTGCATGTTGACAGGTTATTTTTATTTTATTAATTAGTAAATCATTTGTAGAGGGTACTTAATAGGTGATAAGTAGTTGAACTCTTAAACAGCCAGCTTCTCACACTGTTATCACCATTAATTGATAAGGACATTGGCTAAGCAAAAACTTCTTGACTGGCTTATCTGTAAGATTGGTGAGTATATGATTTGACGGCAGTTTTTTTTTTTTTTTGCATTTGTATGAATACAACAAACCTTTCCTCTTCCAGATGTTTCAGATTAAAAGGATCTGCTGCATTGGAGCTGGGTATGTCGGAGGCCCGACGTGCAGCGTGATCGCCCATATGTGTCCAGAGATCACCGTCACTGTTGTGGACGTCAATGAGTCTCGGATCAAAGCCTGGAACTCGGACACTCTGCCCATTTATGAGGTTAGGGTATCTGTGTTATTACCAAACAACATTGGTCAGAGAGCTAATGAGCAGCTTTACTTTCTTCCCCCTTTGCCTTCCTACCTTTGACTTCTACTTGTAAAACATGATAACTCATGGAACCAATCCTGTCGCTATTGTGTCTGTATTTAAAAGCCACACCTCTGTCTCCAGAGTTCAAAAACTCTGTGTAGAGTGTAGAACAAAATGTTGCCAGGCAACTTCATTATTTTTCAGAATCAGAATCAGAAATACTTTAATAATCCCAGAGGGAAATTATTTTGTTAATGGCTACATAAATAAAACAGCGGCATATACATATACATATATACATGTCTGTACATATATATATCTTCATTTTATGAAATAAGATGTAGATTAGTTCCAGATGGTTTTGAAAACTCCCTACGTCAACCCCGACCGCAAGGCATTACGTCACCATGACTAATGCCGGTCAGTGTGAGGTTGTGTTACATTTATGACTTGAGTTTTCCTTTTTATTTCCCCACTCATTCACTGACATGACACTCCTACTTCCTCTCGTTTCAGCCGGGGTTGAAAGAGGTGGTTGAATCATGCAGAGGGAGAAACCTGTTTTTTTCTACAGACATCGACTCGGCCATCAGGGACGCCGACCTCGTTTTCATCTCTGTGAGTTCTCTATACACCAGGTTGTGTTCTGACCGTGAAGCATGTCCTTTCCAGCCTCTGCTAACTGTTGTTCTGTCCCCGGCCCATCCCACACAACACACAGGTGAACACTCCAACCAAGACCTACGGGATGGGGAAGGGTCGTGCCGCTGACCTGAAGTTCATAGAGGCGTGCGCTCGGCGGATCGTGGAGGTGTCCGACGGGTACAAGATCGTCACGGAGAAGAGCACAGTGCCCGTGCGAGCTGCTGAGAGCATCAGACGGATATTTGACGCCAACACCAAACCCAGCCTTAACCTACACGTGTGTATTGTCACAAAAAAACGTCTCCAGAGATTCTGTTCGTTTATTTTTGATCCGGTTAAAGAAAATGTGTCGCTCTCACAGGTGCTGTCCAACCCAGAGTTCCTCGCAGAAGGAACAGCAGTGCGGGATCTGAAGGAGCCAGACCGCGTTCTGATTGGTGGGGACGAGACTGATGAAGGCCAGAGGGCCATCAGAGCCCTTTGTGCCGTGTATGAACACTGGGTCCCCAAAGCCCGCATCATCACCACCAACACGTGGTCCTCTGAGCTCTCTAAGCTGGTGAGTTCACGGCTGTGGCAGACAGTCGATTAACCATCATCGAATATCACCACTCTTTGAATCAAATTTATTGACATTCGAAGACAGTCAGCTAATGGTGTTCCATTTTGTAAAACCACATGGTTGCTTTTTCCGTTCAGATAGAATTGATTTATTTAGTCTTTAACAAAATCTAAGATAAAAATGCACACAAGTTTTAAAACATGTTTTCACCAGATATTTTTCCCCTCTCTTTTGTTCAGTTTTTTGGTCACAGCTTAGAGCAGGTGTCCCTTTTTTGTGCGCTTTCAGTTTCTTCGTGCGCGATGGTCATGAAATAATACAAATGGTCTGGTGTTTGCAGGCGGCCAATGCGTTCCTGGCTCAGCGGATCAGCAGCATCAACAGCATCAGCGCCCTCTGCGAGGCCACCGGCGCCGACGTGGAGGAGGTGGCCAAGGCCATCGGTATGGACCAGCGAATCGGCAGCAAGTTCCTCAAAGCCAGCGTTGGTAAGAACCCCCCTCCTCAGAAAACGCAGAATGTTTCCAGCGTGTCTGGCATACTGACAGCAGATTGGTTGTGTCTGGCCAGGTTTTGGTGGGAGCTGCTTCCAGAAAGACGTGCTCAATCTGGTGTATCTGTGCGAGGCCCTCAACCTGCCCGAGGTGGCTTCCTACTGGCAGCAGGTGAGAACCAGGCAGAGCACCAGCCACCTGGAGCCTTCGGCTCCCCGTTCACCACCATCTCCTCACCGGTCCGCTCTGGCTCTGACTCTCCTCAGGTCATCGACATGAACGAGTACCAGAGGAAGCGCTTTGCCTGCAGGATCATCGACTCGCTCTTCAACACCGTTACCGGGAAAAAGATCGCTCTGCTGGGCTTTTCTTTCAAAAAGGATACCGGTGACACGAGGTGGGCCTCCTCAGTCCGTTTCTTGTCACTTTTTCCAACTTTGTCAGTCTGTCGGTGTAGACATAAAAGCCTCAAATAGCCTCTTAACCCGGCCGTGCGTAACCTTTGTGGAAAAAACTTGCAGAGTCACTGCTGATCCCTTTACTGCACGAGGACTCGTGTTAACGCACAGCCATGAACCCTGACCCTGTTTAGTGGTGACTGATGTTTGTCTGTTTCGCAACCACAGGGAGTCGTCCAGTATTTACATATCAAAGTACCTGATGGACGAGGGAGCCAAGCTTTTCATCTATGACCCAAAAGTCTTGAAAGAGCAAATCATTCATGATCTCTCCCAGCCCAGCATCTCTGAGGACAACCCAGAAAGAGGTGTGTGTGTGTGTGTTCAAGTGTTTACTGCAGCCCCGTGTCTGACGCAACAGCTAAAAGTCAGTGCAACTCACTGGTTTAACTTTGTTACGAACTCATGATTTTAGATGCTCAAACCTGAAGCTTTGCTTTAAAAATCATATAGCATATAGGGTAAAAAATAAAAATAATTGATAAATAAATAAAAACATATAGCTTCAAGGAGGTTCTCTATGAACTTAAAGTGTTTGAAATAGGTATGAAAATGGGCCGCTCTGTGAGAGGTTACATAACTCATTCCTGAAACAAAGAGAGGGCTGCCTTTCACCTGGTCTCTGGACTGAGGAATGGTTTCACGTTTCCAAGATTAAGACTTGATTTAATTTATCACTGTGTTTCATAAGAGGATCAAAACTACGGGGCCTGAGCTTAAAATCGCATTAAACAGGCCAATTCATCGCCATCCAGACATGAAGCCAATGCAGAAGTTTTTAGCCACTCATTCCTTTAAGCATTTATTGAAAAATGGCTTAAGCTAAAGATGGCAAAAAAATAAAAAGAGGTGGTAACTTTTGTATTCATTCCTATAAAGAAAATAGTGAAAGGTGTGTGATCAGATAGTGTCCCGTTAACTATTAGCTCAAGGTCTAGTAATAGACCACAAGTGACTGATACACAGTTATAAAATGTTCCACTTTGATATCCGTCTGTTATTTATATTCTCAAAAAAACTTGACATTTACAGCTTTGATTAATAGCCTGGCCCTGAGCTGCTTCTTATGTTAAATAATTCTGTTATCTTCTCAGATGGACTGTATCTCCCCAATATGGTTTTAAAAGGGTTCTTTTTAAGCTCCGTACAGCATGAAATCCAGCTGATTGTGGCAGCATAGAAGATACAGCGTGGCAGGGCAGCCTGAACAAAGGAATGAATTGCTGAATAGCCTGTGAGATGTGAGGGAGTTACAGAATGAAAACGAGTTTTAAGCCGTTTAAACTTTGTGGAGTGTGTCATTCAACATTGTTAGGCTCAAACAGCCACTTGGCATCTGTGAATTGTGGAGGCGAAAAGATCTATATCCATAGTGAAATGCTGGTTTGTGGCCCTTCCTCTGACCCTCTTTGTTTTCTATCAGTGTCCGAGCTGGTGACCATAACCTCAGATCCCTACGAGGCCTGCCAGAGTGCTCACGCGCTGGTCATCTGCACCGAGTGGGACATGTTTAAGGTCAGAGACTCGCCCGTCCACCTCCTCATTAGTTTCCTTTCCTAACAGAAAGTGCGAACTTTAACCTTGCGCTCATATTAGGAACTGGACTATGAGAAAATCTACAAGAAAATGCTGAAGCCGGCCTTCATATTCGACGGTCGCAGAGTTCTGGACCACCTCCACGCTCAGCTCCAGTGCATCGGCTTCCAGGTGAGCAGGAGAAAAAAAAAAACATGACTCCTTTCCTTTAGTCTAAAGGAGCGGAGGACAGAAAAGTGACCGGCTCTCTTTGGCTGCAGATTGAGACCATCGGGAAAAAGGTGACATCAACACGAATCCCCTACACTCCAGCAGCCGCCTGTCCCCGCATCACCGGACCTGAACCTCCCTCCAAGAAGACGAAAGCTTAGAGCTGACTGCACCCCCCCGCCCAACCCCACCCCACATTCCTCTGTCAGCCTTTCATTTCAGTGGCAGAGGGGCGGGACCCGTCCTTCTGTTGGTGCACATCCACTGATCAAAGGAGCCCCGCCGGACGGCCAGCTGCTCACCGCTGTGGGCTGGAGGTCAGGAGTGGAGCATCATGTAAACCATTCCATACGCACTGTTAACTTTTGACATCATTTGCTGTATAACCTGCGAACTTTTCAGATACCCGTCTGCTGGAAAGAAACACCCAAAATGGGACTATTTTCTTACACTCTATTAGTCAAATGGGGTTTTATCCTGAAACATTTTATACCGTTTTATTTTATTTTATTATAAATAATCTTACTGTATGTTAGTCAGTGTTCTACCAGAAGGGCCAAAGCAATAAAATGTGATGTGCGTCTAAACTGTGTCGCCGATCATTTAAAGGGACGTTGGAAAGGAAAACACAACTGTGACAAACTTCAAATACAGATTGAAGGATTTTAATTCTTTAAATACAAATATACACTTCATAAGTTGCTTTTCTTTCGCTGATCAGGGTTGGGAGCCACACATCTGTTTGAACCTCTCTACACTGAATTCAAACCTCATCTTTTCAAATGATGAGAGGGCTTTTTTTTTTTTTACCAACAGGAAAGGGTCTATTTTAAAAGGGCTGTTTCAGAGCCCTGAAAACAAAAAGCTTTGTTTTTATACATCAGACGCACAACTTCCCTTCTCGGTCTCACTCGCTAAACAAATAAAACAAACAAGTTCTGCTTCGTTAAAATCTGGAGTGAGGCATCATAGCCCCACAAACAAAACTGGTTGGAGGATGGTTTGGAAGCTTTTTACCTGTAATCCATCTGTGGGTGGTGGTGATTTATGAGCCCCCCGAGGAGCCCAGAATAAAAGCTACAGCTTCTTCTCCCTTTCAAGTCGTATTTTGTCCTGACATTGTTACAAAGATGAGGTCTGCGTACAAGCGCCTCTGCAGCTGCTTCTGATGTCAACCTCTCTGAACAGCTGTAACAGCTGGACCTGAGAACAACGTCATCTTCGAGCTTTTATGCTGCATAATGTCTTTGAATTTACTAGATAATGTTTTTTGTTATAATTTCCTGCGCTACAGGTGCAAACAACGGGTTATTGTGACCGTGGACTAAGCGTGTTTTGTCTCAGTGTCTTTTTATAGTTGCAGGTTGGTAGAAGTTTTGTTTTTAAAAAAGCTTCCGGAAGCTTTTCACTCTGCTGTTGTGGCTTCTGCTTTTCTCTTTTTAAGCAGATTCTTCAAGAAGAACTCGCCTGTAAAGACACAAAAAGAGAAAAGGATTAATACCTATCGGTTTGGATTTTTACATAATCGTTTTTCCAAAAAGTCTCCTCCTGGATTTAACCAAGCAAATGATCTGGGTGCTCTAGTCAATTACATTTAGGGCCAGCCATGTCACGGGTTTAAAGCAAAAACGTTTCCTTTTTTTTTTCTTTTTTTGTTTTTTTAAATGGAGCCAGTCGGCAGTTTGAACACCTCCCATCACCTCCAGACCTAAACCCCCTCATAGCAGGACTAACAAGGTGTCTCCACCCTCCAAGAAAAAAAACAAACACTGAAACTGAACGGAAAAACATTTGATGTGCAAGACAGAAAGTGACCTATGCCGAATGTTGGCCAACAAGTGGTTCTTTACACAAGTTGGGGGTGCCCTTCACATCAGCCAGCTCCTGCTACAGTCTACGATTCACCAAGTACTTTGAATAATAAATAAATACACATTTTAAAAAGTGTTCATTACCTCGACAGAATTGTAAACTTTCCGTCTTAAAAAAATTGTCTCATGAAAAGCTCCTTCATAAACTGATCTACTAACTGATGTTTTTCTTCATGGACGTTGTCAAATTCTCTGATCTAAAGCTCAGTCGTGTTGAGCTACAGGTTAGAAGGTTACTTTTTTTGTTAGAAATTTGAGTTTTCAGCTCAAAAAACAAATATAAGATGGCCAAAGCTCACCTGCTTTGTAGGAGGACCGGACCAACGGCCCGCTGGCCGTGTAGATGAAACCCATTTCGTTTCCAACTTTCTCCCAGTGAGCGAACCTTTCAGGAGTGACGTATTCCTCCACCTAAACCCAACACACAAGTCGTCTTAAGGTCCATCCACCTACCAAACGCTGCTCATTTGGCCTGCTTGTGTGGCGCCTCACCTTCAGGTGGCGTTTGGTGGGTTGCATGTACTGGCCAAGCGTTAGACACTCCACTCCGGCCTCCCGCAGCTCTGCCGCATCAACACGAGAGCCATGTCACAATATGACCGCAGTGTGTGTGTGTGTGTGCCACCGCGGCGTGTACGCACCCGTCAGAGTGTCCATTATCTGTTGATCCGACTCCCCGAGCCCCAGCATGATGGAGGTCTTGGTGAGCACGTTGGGTTGGACCTTCTTGGCGTGTTTCAGGACACTCAGGGACTGGTCAAAGTTTGCTCGGGGGTCGCGGACGTGCCTGCAAACAGACATCGTGACTGACTGAAAAGCACCAGGGGAACTAGGTGGGGACCTAGGACGCCACCTGCTGTCGATACTGGAGAAGTTGGCTTAATGTGGAAACCCAAAGCGAGGCTGGCAATTCTGAGAATTGGGGGGAAAAGCAGGTACGATGCGCCCTAAGTGCGATTACCTCTGCAGCTCCCGCACAGTCTCCACATTGTGGGCGTAAACGTCCAACCCCGACAGGGCGATCACGGCCACGGCATCCAGGTCGCCGCGAAAATCCGGGGTGAGACATTCCACCAGGATCTGAGGGTTTCTGGGTAAAGACCAGAGGAGCTCGCTTTAACTGCCCCGCGCATGCCGAGAAAAACAAAAAACACCCAACCTCTTACCTTTCCTTTAGATTCGAAACGGTCTTCGCAAAGTGTGACGCCCCTCCGTCGGGGATATCTGAGCAGAAACGGGACAATTAGGAGCCGGTAATAAAACAAGCGTTGGCCAAAGTTCTGAAGGCCAGACTGAGTCTGGAAAGCTTTACCATCTCTGTCAACCGAGGTCAGAACGACATAGTCCAGCCCCCAGGCGGCGATGGCCTTGGCGGTGTTGTAGGGCTCGTCTTGGTCCAGAGGCGGGGGCCGGCGGGCAGTCTTCACCGAGCAGAACCTGCACCCGCGGGTGCAGGTGTCGCCCATCAGCTGCACGCAGAGAGAGAGAAGAACGGCATTTGAGGCGCGTCAGTCCCTACCGATCGGAGGCTGTCGGAGGTGGTGGTGTTAGAACCCACCATGATGGTGGCTGTCGCCGTGGCGTACTCCCCTCCGCCCCAACATTCTCCAATGTTTGGACATCTGGCCTCCTCGCACACCTGAGAAAAACAGACCGTCAGCACCATAAACGGTCATTTCAAAGCCATACATGTTCAGGAGTGAAAGCAACTAAACTTTTTTTCCGTCTTCCAAATGGAAGCTGCATCTCTGAGGTTCAAACGTCTACAATGGTTATGTTTATTGTAAAGTTTGCTGCTGTGGCTCTTTTCTTTAGCATCTTCATGAGATTCTCTATTGAGCAGGGGTTCTTCTTATGTCCAAAACAAAACTTGGGAACTTGGGAAAGGGCAGAGGCAGGACACTCACCGTGTGCAAGTTGAGGTCTCGCAGTGTGTTCTTCAACTTGTTGAAGTTCTTTCCAATTGGGATCTCAGTCTTCAGCCATGGAGGAAGCCTCAGTCTAAAGTAACAGCAGAACAAGTGATTCTCTTACTAGTGTTTTAAAAGTGGGACCGGATGGCGTGGGTCAAAGGTGTGCCTCACAAAGACACAGTTATGCACTCTATTATAATACTACTTATTTGATAGTAAAAGATCTCAGGAACTGAATGAAACACATACAGCACGTTTACATATCATCTAGCCTTGGCTTCAAATCAGCTCTGGGTTAGAAACCACAGTTTGGTCTGGGACAACAGCCATCAAACATTACTTCTAGATTGGGTCATTTTCCAACAAAAGGACATTTCTGGATGTTTACTTTATGGACGTGACAATAGCTGATTAACTCAGGGGGGGAAACTAAGTGTATTCTAAAGCAAGGGCGAACTGGGAAATCAGTAGTTTGCCTTGAAACTCAACATTCAGGCTGATTCAGCACAGCAGCCTGGTCTTTGAACCCATCTGATAACACACCACCGTCCTCCTTATGGAATTAGAACCCCCTGCTTTCTGCCCCCCACTTGTCAGAGCTGGAGTACCTCTCTCCCTTCTGTCTCTTCAGGGTGCCTTTGTACTCTTCCCACTTGCTTTTCTCCGACAATTCCCCTGAAATAAAGTCCTGCAGATCCGGCCCGTCGTCGGTCAGAAGCTCCTTCTTCCTGTCAGCCCGATCTGGAGAGGATTTGGCCGCGGTAGTCACACCGCTCGTGTAAACCTGCAGATAAACAGCAGCGGTTAGTCCGTCTGTTTACGAAACATGCGAGACCGTGCCATGGTTTTTACCGTTCGACTTTGCGAACAAGCTGTAAGAATCCCCACAGCCGAGTTACAAAACATATTATCAACACAGGCTGCTGGTAATCAAAGGCCCGTGACCCGGCTTCGTAACTGAAGGCAACACTTAATGAACAAACAACGAGATTAAAAGCGTTAAAGTTACTACAACAGGGAAGTGAAATACTCACATGTGGAATGTTCCTGGGACTCAGCCATAGGTGGTTTGTGGAAAAACGACCGGCAACACAGCAACTCTGTTTAAGCAGCGCCATGACTTTAGCTAGCGGGCGGCTGTCATTGGCTTCATCGGTGTGCAGCTGCTTCAGTCTTGTGTTGCGTTCCCGTTCTAACGGCAAAAGGTTCAACGACGGAGAACCTCAGGTTTCTTCCGTTTAATGCATAGGTAGAAAGGCATCTCTAGCTACGTATTTTTTAAAGATTGGCTGCATTTTTAAATAATGAGTCACAATTTAAAAGATGTATTTCTGGACGTTGTGTCTTGCATTCGGCTTAATAAATTTCCGATTGTACGATAGGACGTAAAGGCACCGCCAAATGAAAACAGAATGTGAAGGTGACAAATTAAAACTTCTTAAGCTTATGTTTTTTCTGAATATTCCTCCTTTGAAGACTCAGTCTTTTTTCTCATTACCTAAAATGTTAAAGAGATTTACGCAAAACTGCATGCGTTAAACGAGCGCAACGATTGTTACATCTTGTCTGATGACGTAACGTACGTACTCTACTTCTGCGTGGTGACGTCCCTTCTTCTTCCTTTCCTCTGCTACCGGCGAGGTGAGGATAGCTCCGAAATTGTACCGAGATTTTCATCTAACCTAATCTGCGTTTATTAAACACGCTTTTCATTCAGTTTTGAGTAATCGAGCACAAATAGTGCTCTATACAACGTTACCAATTATATTATAGCAGTATTTTACATTTGTGTTGAGATACGGCAGTAGTCTTTCAACAGATTGGTTGACTAAGGCCTGGTGCTCCATTTATGCTAACGTCCACAGCCGATTCAAGAGTGTTACATTTAAAGGCGGCATTATTATGGCCCATGTCTGGCTTTAACACACGTTAATCATACAAAAAAACGAATTGTAGTGTCAAGAGGCGTAGCTGTGCCATCATGTTAGCATGGTTGACAACGTTAGTCCTGTGCAATATGGTTGCCCGCCGTTGATTAAATCTGAAGTTTTTATGTACTCACTTTTGCGTGTCTGTACGTTGGGTAAAATTGGTTCCATAAATGTAAATTTCCGTAAACTTAAACGTAGATTCAAGTGAATATTAGCTTGAACAACTCGTCAGTGACATATAAGCATTGTAACTCATGTTAACGTTGGCACGGCAAAAATCCTGATCGAACTGATTGTCTTTTCTTGTAGAATGAAGACCATTCTCAGCAGTCAAACTGTCGACCTCCCCGACAATGGTGAGAGTTATGCTTTTCTGTGGAAGTTGGTTGCAAACTGTGGGTTTAAAATTGAGCAGAGTGGATAATCACGCGTTTTTCTCTCCCATATTTCCTCCTCGTTGTGTTACAGTCGAGGTGAGGTTAAAGGGGCGAACTGTGATCGTGAAAGGGCCCCGTGGCAAGCTCACCAGGGAGTTCAACCACATCAACCTGGAGCTCAGCCTGCTGGGCAACAAACAGAAGAAGGTAAGGATGGGGAGGAAGATGCTGAGAAATGTACAGCTGTTAACTTAAACAAATAACCCAACTGAACTTATACCTGTTGCCACACAATCCCAAGAAAACAAAATTAAGTTGAGCATCCTATTTATAACGTGTAGGTGTAGATTCATATAATTCAGAACATATATGCTCCATTAAGCTCAAATGGTCTGGAGACGTACTCAGTTTACTTTCTAAAATGTCTCTTTTTAGTAATAAAAGTTTAAGCTAAAGTTGCCCCAGTTGGATATTTTTTTATTGAGTTTTTTAAAACAAATCTGTAATTTGTAATGGTTTGAAGACTGTAACTCTGCTCTAAAAGTCTTGGCATGACTTGGGCACAGAGGCACCATTCAAGTAAGCCAATTTGGATCTGATTGTAGTACAGTGAGGCCCCACAGTGGAGGTTTGAAGTACCAGAATACTTTGTTTCCTCACTGAACTCTCAGCGTCAAAGTCTTTAGACATCCTTCAGTTGGCCAGCCTTCATCTGAGCACCTGCTTGTTGTGACAAGGGCGGCAGGCCAGTTGAACAGTGTAGTTCAGCTGTAACCCTCTTTTAGCTAAAGAAGCAATCGTTCTCTCAAAGGGGGGATGTGTTGCCAGAGATGTGGAGTTATTTAGACGCATTACAAACTCAAATAGTGGTCTGCTTTCATCCATGTTAACCTGACAGAAAAGAGGACCACGTTCTGTAATAGGTGTTTGCTGTTTAAGCTAATCATGGCGCTGTCTTCCTCAGCTTCGTGTGGACAAATGGTGGGGAAACAGGAAGGAGCTGGCCACAGTCCGCACCATCTGCAGCCACGTCCAGAACATGATCAAGGGCGTCACTCTGGTGAGACTCGCACTACCTTTTTTTGATGACTGCTGCTGAGTGGAATGGCTCAGCCATTATGGTGGGGTTAGCAGATTTGTGTGGCTGATTCCTTTGTTATTTGGGGTACAGTGTTTTCTGTTGGCTCTGCCTGCTCAGCTCTGACCCCTCCCGTCTGCCTGTGACCGCAGGGTTTCCGGTATAAAATGCGCTCCGTGTACGCTCATTTCCCCATCAACGTGGTGATTCAGGAGACTGGAACTCTGGTTGAGATCAGGAACTTCCTGGGAGAGAAGTACATCCGTCGTGTCAGAATGAGGTCCGGTGAGTCTGCTGCACATTGTGGAGAACATCACTCACCTGAAAGCAAACGGGCGTGATTGACCACGGCGTATGATATGAGCTACCGATCCATCTGCCAGTGACAGAATAAAAAGACCACATGAAGGTAGCTGGACTAAGGACAGAACAACATTAGGTCATCACTTTTACCTTTCCAAAGAAATAAAGCTGTCAGACTTCGTGCTGCATCATGTGCAGATGAAGCTCTGTTCCCCTCTAAGATGCTGCATACAACTGACTAAGCTCCAGTTGAGGAGAGGAAAGCAACCTCAGTTTGTCTTTTAGAAGACAGTTGACAGATAGGCCCTGTTATGAAGCTGAAAAGCAACACCAGGTTGAGTTCCAGGTTAAAAGATGATGGCTGGCTTTCTGGGACTCGCCATCCCATATTGTCTGTCACTTTCAGCATGAAATCCCCCGACGGTTCAGTCAGCTGCTATTGATGTAGAAACGAAAGATAAATGGCATGGTTTTGTTTTTTTTCATTTATCTTGGAAACAAAGGGGTGAAGACTTTCTGGAGTTTGGCGGTTTTGAGAACTTGAGATGCCCACACAATCAAATCTTTTCATTGGATGTTTTTGGAGCAGTTTCTTGTAAGAATTTTTCCACTGGACACAATGGAAGAATTGTTGCTGTTTGTTTTAGGGGCAAATAGAAAGGCTTAATTTTCCTAAGACAACCTGAGCAGTTAAAGCAGATGGAGCCTGGATCAGAAAGAAATGCAATGAGCTGCCATATTTGTAAATTCCTCAAATGTTGTAGTAGGTGTGGCATTTGCTCCATCCTCGTGTTAAATGTGTAAACTCGGTAAAGCAGAGTGCTCCGTCTGTGCTTTCAGGTGTGATGTGTTCAGTCTCTGCTGCCCAGAAAGACGAGCTGGTCCTGGAGGGCAACGACATCGAGCTGGTGTCGAACTCAGGTATGTTTCTGCACATTTTTCTCAGCGTTAAAAAAGAAAGGAAAAAAACATATATATTTAAAGAACTTATATTTTCTTGCATAACATCATGATGAATATACCAATAATGTTGTGAAGACCCGTCCTATAAACCAGACAGCGGCCCCTTTTCAGCCCCTGTCCCATCGTGTTTGTATGTTTCTCTTTCAGCTAAGTTTGAGCCATGTTTGGTCGGTTTCTCTGGGCATGATCTCAAAGAGGCTTTGTGTGACGTCCATACTGCTGTAAACTCTGTAACATGTTCTCACCGACCAACTCCTCTTTTCCAGCTGCTCTGATCCAACAGGCCACCACAGTCAAAAATAAGGATATCAGAAAGTTCTTGGACGGCATTTACGTGTCTGAGAAGGGAACAGTAGTGGAACCAGAGCAGTAAAAGTTCCACCCGCACTTGTAGAGGTTAGATGATGCCGTCGAAGCCGCCTGCTCGTCCTGCGCTTTGTTTTCTTTTCTGCTTCTCTTCACGCGGCCGCCTTTGGTGCTTTCTGATTTGAAAAGTTTTCTCCTCGTTTCACACGGGTTGCTCTAAAGCGTTTGATCTGGCTGGGCAGCTCGTGTGCATTTCCACAGACTGGTGCTTTAAAGGGAGAACTATGTGGGTGGGTGGGGTCTCATTTAGACTGAAACGTCAGCTTATCCACAAAGAACCAAGAAGCAGATCAACAGTAGCAGATCTGATACTTTTAGTTTGCACATTTTCTTTTATTTCTAATACACATCAAATGCCTGAGCTCATGGGAATAACTTTAGGGGAAGAACGAATGCGATTGAAGTTGCTTCGCCTTCTTGTTGGCTGCTGATTTATTTTTTTCTCCATAACTTCACTTTTTTCCTCTGAATACTAACCAAAGCTTCTGTCTTCACAATGTTTTGCTTCTCTATCCTCTTTGACCAAATTGTGGTCTCACGCTGGCAGTGGTCATGCTGTGGTAACCGCCTCCCTGTCACATGACACCGGGTCTTTGTCTTCATTCTTCTTTTCTTTTTCCTTGTAGCGGCATTGATCCAACAGGCCACCACTGTCAGGAAGAAGGACATCAGGAAGTTCCTGGATGGCATCTACGTCAGTGAGAAGACCACTGTGGTGGAGCCAGAAGTTGAATAAAATGTTCACCTATCCTGTTTTGACCAATAAAGCAACCATCTTTTTCCAAGTCACCAGCTCTGTTTTTATTGGGTGGTTTTTGTAAGAGGCTGATGCGCTGTGGACTGGTCATGCACGTTTTAACAGCGTACAAAGGAAAAATCTAAATTTGGAATCTTTTTGCATTAGCTAATAGCAGTGTGACACGTGGCTTGGACAAAACGGCTGATCATTGGTCATGTTGGGAATAGAGTTCCTCAACATTCCAAGAAAGTAACAGAACACTTGAACCTTGAGGCCTTAATCAGACAGCATTCAGTAAAATGTAAACAATCACCCGGCTGTGATGATACTGAGGGCAAAAAGAGCAGAATATTCAAACAAACTGGAAAAGATTGACACTAGGATAGAGCTGTTGAGAGAAAAATGTTTCTTTCTTTTTTCTTTTTTTTTTGTACAGGATTAAGGTGTCTTTAAGTTTCTAAAATCTCCCAGAAAACATTAATAATTTCAAAAGCTTATGCAATATATAAATCAAAAGGATGTTTTGTGATGCTGAGGTACATTTTTAGGATGCTAATAAATCTTATAGAGTTTAACTGGAATTCAGTGTTAAGCTGTTCCTTAGAAAAGAACAGTGACACGGCCAGCAAATAGGTTTTAAAGCTATTATAAACACTCTAAAGTCAGAAGTGGTGATTCCTTTATTTTTGCCAGTTATATCAAAATTGGGTTGAATTTAAGAAACCCATACTGAACCTGAGGAATTTATATCACATTTATTTTGGATGAATAACCTTGTGAATGTATGTGTAAAAGAGGCAGTTATTAAAAATCACATTTGTAAAAGGCCTTATCTTATACCTTAGACTTGATTTCTATTTTATTGATTTTTACATTCTTCTGGTTAATTTATGTATTTGAAAAAGAAAATCTTTGTACCTTTTTCAAATCAGATCAGAAATTATTCATATTTAATTGGATTCTTATATCAAATCCTGTTCTATATGATACACATTTCTTACATTCTTTTTAATTACTTCTTTTGTTTTGTGTCTATTTTTACCCCTGTGAAGTTTTCATTGAAAACTCTATTGTGTTTTGCAGTCATTGTAAGTTATCTCAAGTCCTTATTTCCATAATCCAAAACTAAATAGATTTCTACTAGGTTTTGGCATACCTTTCGAGTCAGTTAAGTCAAAAAATATTTTAAAAATCTCTGAAATACTTTTCATACCAACTTCCACTCTTGACATCCTACAGTAAAACAGCATATGTTCCAGTGTTGTTCAAACTTGTACCAATAAAGCTCCATCATACATCCAACCTGCTGGTTTGGATTTAAAACCTACACTTTGAACATTTGGGAACGCTGTTGTGTTAATTAACAATTGAGCATCTTCAACTGTTTCATCATTCGCTATTCATACAAATATAAAAAAATACTAAAATAAAATGAAAAGAAAGAAGAATAAACGTACCGCTGATGACGCACTGACGCACGCGGAACAGCTACGGGCGCGTCATCTCCTAGCGACCGCACGGGATTCTCTTCGCGCCAAGCAGTTGGGGGAATTTCATACTTTTCTGATAACAAGCCCTCGACAACATTGCTGGAAAACGCGTTTAAAATGGTAAGTTGACATTTAAATATATAAATACACAAAGCAATGCATGTGGAAATATGATAAAAGTTTAGAGGGACGGAAAATAAGCGCGTTCGTAGAGTTTTGGACGTTGGGCAGCGTTAGCTGCAGCTAAGAAGGATAAACTTGTGCACTTGTTATATCAAGTGAAAGAGAAAAAAACACGCTTGATTTGGAGTTCGCACGCGTATGGTATTTGGTAGTAAAGGGAGAAAGCTTTCAGTGAAAACGTTGGGCAGTAATGGTGTCCGTTTGCGTGCAGGCTGGTGAGGGAGTCAGTCCACTCCCAGACTAAACTCATGTTTGTGCGTGTTTGTGTGCGCAGGATATCAGGCGGTTCTTTGCACCGACATCAGCAAAGCCCGCGGTGCAGAAACCAGCCCCAAATGGAAACACCAAAGCAGACGACGGCAAGAACAAGAAGAAGAAAACTCCCTCTCAGAAGTCTTCAGACGAGGAAGTGAAAAAGAAACAGACCACCAAGGCAAGCAGGTGTCTTCTGCTGTCATCCGTCTTTTCCCGTGACCTCTTTTGCTTGCTTGCTGTTCATTGGGTTTGGTTTATGTTTTTTTAGGCTAAAAGCTCCAAAGCAGGAAAGCAGCGCCAGGATGGTGGTAAAAAACGAAAGAAGCACGCCATCATCGTGTCAGGTAAGTCACATTCAGACAGAATCATGGGAACCAGATGCCCATTCAATTCCCCTCCAGTTCCAATGGTGATGTTCTGGTATAAGCTGTCTTTGCCACAAGTTATCGGACTTTTGTGCCGTTCAGACTCGGATTCGGAGGAGAAGGAGCCTGCAGTAAAGTTCAGCAAGTCCTCCAAAGACAAAGCAGCGAACAGCAAAGCGGAGCCGCCTGCTAAGAAGGATCCTGTGCGTTATGTTTCAGAAACAGGTGAGGATCCCAAAGTTCAGCTTAATTTGTTCCTATCTCCAATGATAATGATTAAAAGTTAAAGAAACATACCATTGTAAACACCAAGCTCGCTTTTGATTTAGAAAAGTGTTTCTCCTCCGTTTGCAGACTCGGACAGCGACAATTTTAAGTCCTTGAAGAAAGTCCCCAAACCCAAACAGAACGGCAGCACCAAGAGCACAAAAGCAAACCCAGACGGTTCTCGTCCAGCAGCCGACGCAGGGATGAAGTCACCCATCAGGCCGTCCACCAGCCAGGGAAAAGCTGGCGTGAAGAGCCCCGCTGCTCCCGTGACCCCCAAGTCGGCGCCGCCCCCTCAACCCAAACAAACCCCCACCTCGGTGATGGACTACTTCGGGAGCGGGACCATTCACCGCTCGGACAAGAAGCTAGTGGCGAGCGCCAAGCGAAAGGCAGTGAGTGCACGCCTTCACCTCTCTTCCCCCTCTGTCCCAGTGATGATGCAGATTTTTTATGTTCCTCCACTCACCACTTGTTTTTCATCTGTTAAAAAAAATAATTCTGCTTCTCAGCCAACTCAGGACCCCAATGACCTGATAAGTGACGAGGAAATCGCCCGGCAGCTGCAGATGGAGGAAGATATGGAGGTATGGTGTCTTTCATTTTCTTATCCCCAGCTCGCATTTTTCTTTTCACACAAAAGAGATCGACATTTCATTATTTAAACTGAAATAAGCTGAATGAGATCGAGGATACGAAGAGTAATCGGAGTAATAAGAAGCAAAGAAACCGATTTAACAAGAGGAAGACAAAAGGGGACTAGTTTTTTTTTTAGGTTAATTTCAGCTGAAAAAAATAGCAGCCTCAGCATCATAAGCGTCAAGTAGAGGTTGCTGTAAGAAATGATTGAGAAGGCATGCAGGCTTTTTTAAATTGGACTTTAGATTAAGCATCTTGTCAACCTGACCAGTAGAAAGCTAATCGGTCTCCCTCTGAAGGCCAGTTTTCACCAAACTCCCTCAGCCAACTTTGTGGACTTGTGTGCAACGTCAAATTAGTTGAGTTCTTTTTCTGCTGACCGACACCCGAAGAACAAAGTGCATTTCACATTATAGATGTTCATCCTGTTCTTTTCATTCCCCAAATGATGACTCAGTCATTTGAATGCTTTTCTCTTTTTTTCTCTCCTTTGTTTTTGCTCTCATTTTGTCAGCTGGAAAAACAAGTCCACGAAGACGCGGCGTTTGCCAAAACGCTGGCTATGCTTGATGCTGAGCCCCAGGCCAAGAAGGTAAAGAGCCCTGCAAGCGTGGGGGTACTTTCCACAGTGCTCGTTTTTTTCTTTTCTAAACGCGTGTCTGTTCTTGTCTGTGTCCTCGCTCAGGCTCGCAAAAGTTCAGAGGAAAAGCGAGACCTGCCCAGGAGCCCCCAAAAGAGCAGCGCCAGCAGCTCATCGAACAGCCGCAGCGTGTCAGACGACGTGGTCGGCCCGTCGCCCAAAAGCAGCCCCCCACCGGCCAAAACCAGCTCCAAGCTAGCCATGATGAAGAAAAGGGAGGAGCTGAGGGATGGGGAGCCGAAAAGCAAAACGCCCACAAGCGTGAAATCGTCCCCCAAGAAGGAGCCTGTCACCTCGTCGGGGCCGGATAAGAAGCTCACCCCAAAAGCCGGAACCACTCCGGCGGGGCTCAAAACGTCCCCCAAGAAGCCCGAGGTGAGCCGGACACCGTTAGAGAGGCAACAGGAGGTCAGCGCCACGCAAAGCTCAGTGTCCTCCTTCCTCCCTCCACCAGAGCACCAGCATCAGTCCGGAAGACGCCGAGAAGAAGAAGGGCAACTCTGCAGCCTACAGGAACTACCTCAACCGGGACGGGCCCCGAGCTCTGGGATCCAAGGAAATCCCAAAGGTGTGTTTAAACGAGACCGAGGTCACGATTTCGCTTAATGGGGGGATGTTTTGTAATCAAAGACTTCTTCAGGTTTATTATTGTGTTTGTCTGCCATCTGGAACCTTTTTTGGACTTACATGTTGGTCTGTTTTCTTTGTCTTTTTGCTGTTTTTGTTCCTTCAGGGCGCAGAGAACTGCTTGGAGGGCTGCGTCTTTGTGCTGACCGGAGTCATGGAGTCCATGGAGCGAGATGATGCCAAAACTCTGATTGAGCGCTACGGAGGGAAGGTGACGGGTAACGTCAGCAAGAAGACCACCTACCTGGTGCAGGGCCGAGACAGCGGAGTGTCAAAGCTGGAGAAGGTGACCGTCCTGTCCAAAACATGAAGAAAAATTCTCATTCAGACCAAAAGGATCCAGACTAGTTGAATTATTTGTGATTAGGGAAAAGTTAGCCCTCGCTATCCTTATTTCTTTATTTTTGTACTGCTTGTATTTATCTTGTAAAGGCATTGTGCTCTGAAACGGTCCAGCTTCACCTCATTTGTCCCCAACGCTCAGGCGCAGAGCTTGGGCACCAGCGTCCTGGATGAAGACGGTCTGCTGGAGCTGATCAGAACCAAACCGGGGAAGAGGTCCAAATACGAGATTGCTGCAGAAGCTGAGGTCAGTCGTCCCCTCCCCCTTAAGTGCTTCACAAGGAGAAAATAAATTAAAATAAGTTAAACAAAATAAAAAAAACACTTCTTAAATAGATTAAAAGTGAAGAGTGCAGATAAAATACGTTCATTGTTAAGCTGACTTATTTTACTTTGTGAGGGGAAGACAGAATTCGGGAGAAAAAGTTCAAACATAAATTCATTCTGTTGCTTTTCCTCCTTTTCCATCACTTAGAACAAAGCTTCAAAGACCAGGACGCCCCCCAGCCGGGCGTCAAAGGGCACCCCCAAAGCCCAGAACATCTCCCCCTCCAAAGGTAACTCCAGGTCCCCGCACACACCCAGCCCGTCCAAGACCGGCCAGACGCAGAAGACCAAGACCAGCGACGGCGCCACGCCGTCCGGGAGAGGCCCGGCTCCCAGGGCCCGGAGGGATCTGGGCCTCTCCTCCTCCTCCTCTTCCTCCTCCTCCTCCGCTGCGGCGGTGCCGGCGGGGGAGGCCGCCACCCTGCTGTGGGTGGACAAGTACCGGCCGCAGTCGCTGAAGGCCGTGATCGGCCAGCAGGGCGACCAGAGCTGCGCCAACAAGCTGCTCCGCTGGCTGCAGAACTGGCACCGGCACCACGCCGCCGGCGCCAGCGGCAAACCAGCAGGTAGCACCGCCTTTTTGTTGTTGTTTTTTATGGCGGGACACGTTCGGAAAAGGCGAACATGTTGTTAACCGGCCGCTCTCTGCCGCACCGCAGCACGCTTCGGGAAGTTCGGGGGGAAGGACGACGGCTCGGGACACAAAGCGGCGCTGCTGTCCGGCCCGCCCGGCGTGGGAAAGACCACCACGGCGGCGCTGGTCTGCGAGGTGGGTCAGAACACACAAACACACACACACAAGCACATTTATTGGTCCCCGTGGAGACGGCGGCGCTCACGGTGCTCTGGGCCGGTAGGAGCTGGGCTTCAGCTACGTGGAGATGAACGCCAGCTGCACGCGCAGCAAGAACAGCCTGAAGGAGGTGGTGTCCGAGTCCCTGAACAACACCAGCATCGAGGGCTTCTACAAAGGTGACCGCCTCCTTCCGCCTCGTCCGGCTTCTGGCCTCCAGCACGCCAAAGCTAAGCGGCGGCGGCGGCTGCTTGCGGATGACTCGCAGAGCGGGCTGTCAGCTCCCTGTTGGTGTTGCAGGCACGTCGCGGACGGTCAGCAGCAAGCACGTCCTCATCATGGACGAGGTGGACGGCATGGCCGGAAACGAGGACCGCGGCGGGATCCAGGTCGATAAAGGCCATTCGTCTCAGTTCAGATGGAAGAGAAAAAGCGGCTGCAGGGTTTTGTTTTTTAACGTGATGCTTTCCACGTCCTGCAGGAGATGATTGGCCTGATAAAAAGCACCAAGGTCCCCATCATCTGCATGTGCAACGACCGCAACCACCCAAAGATCAGGTCGCTGGCCAACTACTGCTTTGACCTGCGCTTCCAGAGGCCGCGGCTGGAGCAGATCAAGGTGCAACCGCCCCCCCCTCTCCACAGCACAGAGGCTGATCTTTGGCTTTAAAAAATGAAAAAAGCTAATTCGTTTTTTTTTCAGGGAGCCATGATGTCCATCGCCTACAAGGAGGGGATCAAAATCCCCCCACCGGCTCTCAACGAGATCATCCTGGCGTCCAACCAGGACGTCCGACAGGTAAAGAGGGCGGGGTTCCGGGTGTGCTCCGCTGGTCGTGGCGGGGGGGTGTTTCTCACCGCGCCGCCTGTCGCCGCCGCAGGTGATCCACAACCTGAGCATGTGGTCGGCCAAAGACAAGGTGATGACCTACGAGCAGTGCCGCTCGGACGCCGCCAACGCCCGCAAGGACATCAAGCTGGGGCCCTTCGACGTCTGCCGGAGGGTCTTCTCCTCGGGGGCCGACACGGCCAACATGAGCCTCATCGACAAGTCCGACCTCTTCTTCCACGACTACTCGCTGGCGCCGCTGTTCGTGCAGGAGAACTACCCGCACGTCCGTCCGGCCGCCGCCGGGTAAGACGGCGGGGGCCGCCCCTCACGGGTTCAGAGGGCGCCCACGGGTCGGACTAACGCGCGCTGATCCACCCCCCTGTTTGTGTCTCTCAGCGGGGATATGAAGGCTCACCTGGTGCTGCTCAGCAAGACGGCGGACGCCATCTCAGACGGCGACCTGGTGGACAGACGGATCCGCTCGAGCCAGAACTGGTCGCTGCTGCCCACCCAGGTAAGGCGGGAGCAGGGAACGCCGTCCACGCTGCAGCTCGTCCGTTTGGTTACGACGAAGGGGGTCACATACCAGTGTGTGTGTGTGTGTGTTTTTTTTAGGCCATTTATGCCAGCGTGCTGCCCGGCGAGCTGATGAGAGGCTACCTGGCCCAGTTCCCCGTCTTCCCCAGCTGGCTCGGGAAAAACTCCTCAGCCAATAAGCACTCCCGCATCCTACAGGAGCTGACCTCGCACATGAGTTTAAAGTGGGTTCTTTTTTTTAATATTAGTTTTACTCATGCTCTACACTTTTTATCAAACACAAAACGCTGACATAGTGCCCCCCTCATGCTCCTGCAGGACTTTGAGCAGCAGACAGGCGCTGAACCTGGACTACCTGCACCACCTGCGGCAGGCGCTGCTGGGGCCCCTGCAGAGGCACGGAGCCGAGGGCGCCGGCCAGGCCGTCCGGCTGCTGGACGACTACCAGCTCATCAGGGAGGACGTGGACAGCATCATGGAAATCAGCGTGTGGGGGGGACAGCCGGACCCCTACTCCAAACTGGACTCTAAGGTAAGCCTGTGAAGAGCAGATATAACATGTGCATATCCAACGCGTGCTGATCCGCTCTGGCCTCCCCGCAGGTGAAGGCAGCCTTCACGCGGGCGTACAACAAAGAAGTCCACCTGACGCCGTACTCGCTGCAAGCCGTGAAGAAGGGCCGCCGCGGGGGCGGAGGGGAGTCGGAGCTAGGGGGGGAGGACGCAGACATGGAGCCTCAGGCGTCCGAGGAGGAAGCGGAGGGGCTGCAAACCGACGGAATGATCAAAGTGAGCACACACAAACCACAGCCACATGTTTTAGTTTTTGTCTCTTCTTCATTTTCTGTGCATGAACCGGGTGTCCTGTTCCTCCCTGCAGCAGAAAAAGACCAAACCCACTAAAGAGGCAAAAAAGGAGAAGAAGGAAGATTCTGGCAAGGGCAAAGGAAAGGGGAAAGGCAAAGCTAAGAAATGACCCAGAACCGGGGAGGAACTTTCTGTGCTGGACTGCCTCCACACACACACACACACACACCATTAGTCAGTTCATCAGGTTAACACCCAGAAGTAGAGACGGGTCTTCTGCTCGGACATATAACCCATCTGTCCTTATTCGGTTTATTGGCTAAGAAACGTCTTTTCTTTCCCTTTAACTAATGGTGTCTCTATAGTGAACAAACCTTTTCCTGTTATCATGTCTGTGCATTAGGAGTGACGTGCATTGCTTCAGCCTTCAGATGTAAATAATGTAGCCCCGACCAAGTAGCCGTTAACTACTATTTACATGTAAATTTCCCTTTTCTAATAGAGAAATATGCTGCTCATGAGCGTTTGTCTGTTTTTTTGGTTTGTTTTTTTGGTTTCCAAACGAAGAGGAACACAGCCACGTGCGCACAACTTGTGTATCAGGTAGGTATCCATTTGATTAAACCAGATCAGGAGAGCTAACGCCTTTCTTTAAGGTATTTGCACTTATATCACAATTAGCTCACCTACTTTAAAAGATACTCACATTCCAGTTGGAGATGGTTACTATGGTTACGGCCTCTCAAGCCACCCCTTACCGCATAAGAAATCATCTGTGAACAGGTCAAAGTAGAAAAACTGGAAATAATCTTCATTTGCAGTTTCCATCACAGAAAAGTCAAACCAGGGTTTGGTTTCCTCTTTATTTTTGTGTTTCCCTGACAACACGCCCTCAAGCTGCACCCTTCGCACCGCCGTTTTCTCCCACAGAACCGCTCTGCTTCATGTAAGGTGTTGAAACAGCAGACACGTTTACGCTGCAGCCTTTAAGCCGACAAACGGGCGGTTGGAGATCTGACGGGTGGAAATGGACACTACCATCCAAAAAAGTGTTTGTTTTTTTAGAAAAAAGATTGTATTAAAAATTCACAATTATAACAAGAAACATTTCAGTTTTGTTTTTTACAGATATGAAAACAGATTGATGTAAATATTCAAAAACTATGCAAAAAAAGGAAAATTACATGAACTTTGACTTAACTGCGGAACCTAATTCAATCGATTTTAGACTTGATCTGCCTCCGTCACTGGTCCACGTCATTAGTCTGCAGGTGCTTGGAGCAGTCGGAGATCTTCTTCAGCTGCGTGGCGCTCAGATGCTCAGAGCACATGGGACACACCGCCTCGGTTTCCAGCAACCTGCAACAAGGTTCAGAAAGAACAGGCCTATTTTAAGTGGAGGGTGTGGCCCGTGTTAGCCCCTTTGGGACCATGTGGTTACTCCAGGTGGGTGGCCTGCGTGGCCTCGTGTTTGCTGCTGTTAGTGACTGTGGGACATTTTAGTTTTAATCTAGTTTGAGTCTGTCTTATCCTGCCTCCACCTCCTGGGCCCTCTACATCCTCACTGACCAAAGTTCATGCTCCACTGTTCTTTACTGAAAGATCTAATGAAGTGTCTTAAAAGAAACACCAGAGGGTTAAATCAGTCCCTCTTTTGGACAGATTAAAAAAAATCTAGTCTGATCTTTTTTGCATGTTTGATGATGGCTTGAATTTCTCCTTGATAAAAAGTTGTACTTACAGGATGAACTGTGAGTAGAGAGCTGGGAATTCACAATGAGGGCATATGGACCAGTCTTCTTTCAACATGTGACGACCCTGATGAACAGAATAGTTAAAAATAAAAACATGAAGAAAACTACCACTCCACATCTGGAGGCGTGCCGTTACCGTGGCGATGCAGTAGGGGAGGTTGTTCTTGCAGGAGATGCACAGGAGCTCGTTCTGTGGCAGCTGGAAGCCACAGAAGGGACAGGGAGTGGTTTCCTCCTCCAGCTCAGATGTGTCTGGACGCCTGTGGCGGAATGCAGACGGCAAAAAACAGGGCTCACAGATGGTTTAATTTTAGGAGCGAGAAATAAGGTCGTAGAAATTGAAAAAAATGTTAAGAGGAAGCTAGATTTGACATCGGTCAACAGGGGTCGCTCACCTGACCATAGCCTCGATCTTCTTCCTGTACTTGACGTCGATCTCGTTTCGGTACTCCGGTCTCATCAGCATGGCGGCGAAGCTGAAGGCGGAGTTCTTCAGGCCGGCTCGGTGGCATTCAATCACTGCTGACGTCAAAATGGGGACCACATCTGCACACACACACACAAGACTCTTTAACGTTCAGACCCCAAACCCTGCAGAGTTTCAGGCCAAACTGACCCCTCTGGACTCACGCGCAGGAAACTTGCTGATGTTGTTGCTGACACGAATGAGCATCCGCGCTCCCTTTAAATGGTCCCCTCTCTTCACGTGGATCTACCGGAACAAAGAACCCCATTGCATCATTTAGAAGCTTAGAAAAACCGAACTGCTTTACCTGCTGATGAGGCCTATACACCGATATGGTGTATTATCAGTGAACAGCCTTTAAATTATTGACAGTTCTACCTAAGACCAATCAGTAGCAGCTGCCACCCTGTAACAGTTAATAAAGAAAATAGATTATTGATTATAGATTATCCCCCCCGACAGGTCACCAGTCCATTGCAGGGCCCACACAGAGACAACCAACCACCCACTCACACTCACTCCTAAGGGCAATTTGGAAAGAGCCCCCTACACCGGCTTCGTACACATTGCTCGTGTACAATTTGTGCTCTGCAGATAAGCTTGCCTTGGCTGGACACTGACCTTGACCAGCAGGTATGAATGGAGAATCATCAGATTGGTGGCCATCTCAGCCGGGATCTTAATCTTCTGGGCCTGCAGCTCGGTGTACATGCTGAACAGCACGTCATGGGCGTTTCGGTAATTCCCTGTAGAAAAAGAAAAAAGGTCACCGGTGGAACTTGTGTGTTGTTTTTTTTTCTATTTCCGTTTGAGAAGTCCATGGGAATGTTTGCACCTGCACACTGCTCTTCTCTGGCGATGATGATGGCGGTGCGAGCTGCCTCTCTGTACTGTTGCAAAGCCATGTAAAGGCGGAACAGGTACTTTGCATCCTGGGAAGAATAAGCAGTATCAACATTTTTAAGCTCCACTCTATAGTTCCTCAAATATCCATTTAGGTATTTCAAAGGCACCTTCAAATAGCATGTGTTTGATCAAATCCAGCAGTCACGACCAAAAATATTAGCTATGGTTGATCTAGTTTTTTCTATTGATTTGTCCCTAATCAACAGATTCGATTTTGCTCATGACCGCTGAATATTCACCACTCAAAAAGTAGATTTGCTGAAACTGAACGTCTCCTTTGAGATGACTGCTGTTACAGTTTTATTCACAACCTTGAATTTGATAAAGTAGGTATGGAAAGAAATGAGAACAACAGGGAACAAAGTGTGTGAGGATAGCGGCTGTAAGCGCAATTATATCTAAAGGTACAACGTGTAGAATTTGGTGACATCTAGTGGCGAAGCTGGATATTGCAACCAACTGGTTTGTTAGAAAAGTGACGTATAGTTCTGTTTTGATTACCTTAGGCATCCCGTCACTTTCACCCATCAGGTAGTCTATCAGCTGATTGGTCAAAGCAATGTCCTTGGCCTGGCCCACCTAAATGGACGACACACACACATCAAATAACACACACAGAGTCCGTCGGATACCCCGAATAAGTTAGCAAGAAACACATCTCACCGTCTCGATAGCCATTTCGATAGCCAGGTTGTCCTCTGTGTTGGGGCACTTCAGGAAGTGCTTCAGGGCCTGAGAGGAGGACAAGAAGAAGGAAGCCGCATAAATAATTGAAGCTCTCAGAACGTGACTGACACAGGATCAGGAAAACCAGGGACTCTTACTCTGCTGTACTGCCCACACTTCTGAAAGAACTTTCCAGCCTGCAGGTGCTTCTTCTCTCCTTCAAAGTACAGAGCAATGCTCTGGTAGTCCTCCTGTGTAGCTTCGGGGCCTGAGAAACACATCACTGAATACCAATGTGTACCTCCCTCCATTTGGATAACAAACAAAAAAAAGCAAAGCCACCAGAAACTGATGCAAAAGGAGGGCACTGTGGACGTTTGGTAACATCTGTATAGTCTCCACACAGACTGACCGATGATGTCCGCGTAGACCTCCATCTGCCCGTGCTGCTGGGCCAGCTGGAAGGCCTCATCGTTGCACTGGGACAGAACCAGGAAGTGGATAGCTGAGCCGTAGTCGTTCAGCCTCAAGAAGAACCTTTGAACATGAAAAAATGAAAATAAATGAAGGAATGATGCGGTAATGCTGAAAGGTTGTGATATCAAAAGATTGACCAGTCAAAAAAGAGGAAGAAAGCTTGTATCTGACTTCATTTAAAGCAGTTGGATCAAAAACATGTACACTTACTATTTCTTTATTTTATCGTTTATGTTCTAACTGGTTCTTTAGTTATTAATCGGCAGAGACAACCTTCAAAATATTTTGAGGGGTAGGTTTGAATGCTGTGCTGCTGGAGGAACCTTGGCTGGTAACTCTAGACTGATTATTTACATCTCAAATACCTCCAAACAAGCTTTTGATTAAATAGAAATTTCAAAAAGACGAGGAACAGACTCCACTGGTTTTCCATTCATACAAAAAAAAAAAAACCACCACTGACAACACTACAGCAACCTTAAAAAACACATTTTTAAAATGTAACATTCAAGGAGCGTTAACCGGAAAACTCCCTCATGTAGAGACGGAGGGCTACCTAAGCGTACATCTGTTTGTCATGTTTGTCCTACCTGGCCACCATCTTTGCCCCGTCGATGCTCTGCGTCTCCCTGACGATGCGCACGGCGTCCTCGGGGTTGTTCAGGTGGTCCAGCAGCACGCGGATCACGTTGTCCCAGTCCTTGGCGCTCTCGTAGGCCTGAGCCGCGTCCTTGTACCTGAAGCACACGGCAGCCATGAGATCAGATCCCCCCGCGGCTCTCCACCCCCCTGTGGAGGGGGAAAAAGCGCCGACACCCCCACCTGCCGTCCGCCTCCTTGGCCTTTGCGTATTGCAGGTGGATCTTAGGGGAGGACACGTTTGGAAGCAGCTCCCCCACCTTGGCCCTGGGAAAAGAGCAGCGACGAGGGGTGGTTTTATTTTATTATCTTTAAAAGAGGAGGCTCCAAAGCTTTCAACGCGCTAACATTTGCCTCACCAGTTCTTGCAGCGGATGTACACTGAGGCAGCC